TTCTTTTTGGTCATCTGTTAATTTATGGTTGGATAAATTTAAATATTTGTCTTCACTATTGGGTAATAAAATATTTCCTTGATATAATTTACAAAGTTTTTTTGTAATTATTTGTCTGTGTGTGAGTTGGTGCTGGTTGATGCTAAGATTCAGGTGGTACAGTGATTCATTATATTCAGGTTCGGTCAAAGTGTTTTTTAGTGTAGTGTTATGTTTGTGTATTTCTTTGTTTAAATGTTGGATTTCATTTTGAGCTAATTTTATTTGTCGTAAGACGAGGTTTTTCCTGAATGTAGTGGTGTTATTTTCCTTGTTGGCTGCCGGGTCGTGTAATTTGATATTTGTATAATTAGGCAGCAATCCTTCCTTTATGCATGTTTCGTTAAAAACGACAGACAAGGTACTACAGTTGAGCTTTTTATTTAATTTTTCTTGTGTTCTGACAAGAGCCTTCTTTTCTGGACAAAGAGTGTGTAAGAACTGTCCGAATGTTCTGTTTTTCCGAGCGCTTTCGGCTATACTTTTAGCCATTATCAAGGATGGTTCAATGATGGATATTCATTATCAAGTAGAGTGTGTGTTCTATGTATGTTCAGTGTGTGGTAGTGATGTTTTAGTTTCCGAATACAGTTAGCACATTGTGGCTTTGTTCATATCTATGAGTTCAAATGCCCTTTAAGGAACTGCGTTCCTCACCAAACCGGACTCATAAATAATTACATCGGCTACACAACCACATGTTTATCCAGACGTCTTACATTACACCTATCTGATCACAGTTCCATCAGAACACATTTAAACACACACTCAGATTTACCCGACACTATTAGGAACATACTAGTAGAAAACACTAATATATTAACTGCATCCACTTGCAAAAAAAGACTAAAAATAATGGAAGCTCTAATAATAAAAAAAAAAAAAAGCCAACTCTTAACAATATCAATTATGAACAAAGCCACAATGTGCTAACTGTATTCGAAACCAAAACATCACTACCACACACTGAACATACATAGAACACACACTCTACTTGATAATGAATATCCATCATTGAACCATCCTTGATAATGGCTAAAAGTATAGCCGAAAGCGCTCGGAAAAACAGAACATTCGGACAGTTCTTACACACTCTTTGTCCAGAAAAGAAGGCTCTTGTCAGAACACAAGAAAAAATTAAATAAAAAGCTCAACTGTAGTACCTTGTCTGTCGTTTTAACGAAACATGCATAAAGGAAGGATTGCTGCTTTAATTATACAAATATATATATATATATATATATATGAGTGAACATAGAAGTCAACACTTAGGGCGACAGTCTGTTTTTCATGCTAGATGCAATCCTCAGACACTCGTGGCCTGAGGCTTGCATCTAGCATGAAACAGACTGTCACCTCTAAATTTGACTTTATATTCACTTTTATATTACACGCTGTATCTCTGATATTGAGCACTTTATCCCATAAATATAGCACATCTAAAGACTATATTTCTTCATATATACATACATATATATATATATATATATATATATATATATATATATATTGCAGAGGTTATAGTTGTTCCAACTAGAGAAAAGTGTATATTTTAAAGAGAAACCGCAAACGTTTTTGGTTATAATGTGGATTTTTAAATATATATTATACTTTATTTTCCATATTTTTGCTACAGGTGTTTCCGGTCTCTCGACCCTCATCAGGCGAAAAGTAGTTATTTCCACATATTATTTAAAGGAATTAATTTTCCTGATGTTTTTCGATATTTAACCATTGTTTTGTGTGTAGTAGTAATCCACAAAATTTAGATTGCTACTACACACAAAAGACAATAACCATTCTTCGCCTGATGAAGTTGGCAAGACCCGAAGCACGTGAAGCAAAAATATGGAAAATAAAGTATAATATATAATTAAAAAATTCACATTATAGCCAAAATCAGCTTCTTTTTTCTCTGTATATATATATATATATATATATATATATATATATATATATATATATATATCAGGTCATCCGAAGTTCTGTCCGAAGTTTAACTTTTTCGTTAAAATGAACGAAATTTAAAGAGTATTTTATAATGCCTAATGGAGCTGAACATTATTTTTATGTTTAGATGCATTTAAACTGATCAAATTTTATTTCAGAGAACAATAAAATTAAATTTTGTTTGATTAAAACCCTGCTAACATGGAAGTAGCCAAGAATCATTTGAGGCACATAATGCTTTATGAGTTCAAGAATGGAAACTCAGCAGCCGAAGCGAAACATTCACTCGGTTTATGAAGAGGAATGTGTGAATGAAAGAACTTGCAGAAGATGGTTTGCAAAATTCAGAGGTGGAGATTTCACCCTTGAAGGTGAAGATCGAACCGGACGTCCAGTTGAGCTTGATGAAAAGCTACTTGAAGCAGCCCTTGAAGAAAATCCTGCTTTATCAGTTGAGGAATTGGCAGTGGTTCTCAGTTCAAACCATACAACTGTTCATCGTCATCTTCCACTTGGAAAAGTTCCTAAACTTGGAAAATGGGTGCCTCATGAATTGTCTGAAAACAACCTCAAATCCCGAGTTGACATCTGCTCTTTTCTCCATTCTCGCCAACATGTTTCATCTTTTTTGGATAGACTTGTGACTGGCGACGAAAAATGGATCTTTTATCGAAATGATAAGCATCGTAGACAGTGGCTTGGTAAAGGGGAATGACCCCAGCCACAGCCGAGAAGGGAACTTCATGGGCAAAAGATTCTTCTTTCAATCTGGTGGAATCGCCAATGAATAATCCACTTTGAATTCTTACCGCCTAATGCAACAATTAATGCTCAAATATACTGTCAGCAATTAGATCGTTTGAACCAAGCTTTGAGGAAAAAAGACCTGCTCTAGTGAATCGAAAAGAGTTAATGTTTCATCAGGACAATGCGCGACCCCATACAGCAAGAATCACGTCACAAAAGATCGAAGAACTTGGTTGGGAGAAAATTCCTCATCCACCTTATTCTCCCAAACTTGCTCCTTCAGACTACCATTTGTTTCGTAGCTTACAGAATAATTTGGAAGAAACAGCTTTTGTAACACAGGAAGAGGTTAAAACTGACATTTGTGAGTTCTTCGAATCAAAGCCAAAAGAATTTTACAGTAATGGAATTAGTAAGCTTGTTAATAGATGGAAGGAAGTCATAGATAATCAGGGAAAATACATTGTTGATTGAATCTGTAATTAAATGTAACATTTGGTCACTTGTTTTCTTTATTCAAAATTCGGACAAAACATATGGGATGACCTGATATATATATATAGTGAAAATATAAAAAATAACACTGTATAGTGACTAACAGTATCACGCCTTAAGCGATCATCAGACTGCTAGTCACCATACAGTGTGGTTCACACTGTTTATACGCACAAACACTTTATCCTCGATATTGAACACGCCTCCATAAATATACCAATTTCTAAACAATGTGTTTACATACATGCATGGTAGGAACACCACTTTCTTGATTTTATTATTGATTTCCTTGGCGCTGATCATGTCTCCTGTGGTTTATTATACCAGCGAGTGACTTAAGGCTTAATGTAGCAAGACGCAAGCTTGTTTGTAAAACATATGGCTTCAAATTTAAGCTATATGTTTTTACAAGTCACAGGGTTCTTGTAACGCCAGCTACGTCGGCTCACTGACTTGCACACTTTGTTGCATAGATTGTAAACGAAATCAGACTGGATATCATATTGATAGATTGAGTTGTCATTCTGATGACAACATAATCTGTCACTATGTTTTCTTTTATATATATATATGTATATATTCTTGGTTTAGTTTAAATACTCATATACATGAATAGAAAATGATATTTCCAAAACAGTCGGCAATTTTCTCTTTTGTAGTTGCCAACATCAGCAATTTCGCTTTCTCACTGATTACGTCTTTGACGTTTCAATTTTAGTGTTAGGAAAAACCAGGGATCGACGAGATCCAATTCTGGTCCGGAGGTGAGACGATATTATTCTTCTTTCCTTAGGTTACCATGCGTGATACACGCTTTGGTGATCATGTCTCTTTTTGATTCATGATTCACTTAGCAGAAGAATTCCTGCAGTAAGCTACCGTTACTCTCTGCGGTAGACTGGTTGCTAACCAAGGCTATTTAACCCACAGCTTGGAGAGTAGGAAATATGGATTCCTACATTACGATTTCTCACCTCGAGTCTTTAACCATTACACCAGCGCACATCTAAACTAACAACACCTGGTATTCCAAACAGTCACACATCTAGTTACTGACCAAACTTGACGTTGTATAACTTCGATGATCGAACGAGAACTGATGTTTCAACGCGCTACGGCAGTAAGTATGCGATATTTTACTAAAATAAATCCTGCACGAGATATTTACTCGCTCGACCACTGAAACAATAGGAGTAGACAGGTTTGCCTATCGTCCGGTTCATACTCCTCCCCAGCCTTTTGAACGGGAGTAGAGGTTTATGTCTTGTTTACGGTTTAGGATTGGGTTTCCGGTACTTTATAAAGTCCTTTTCATTCTCCTTCACTCCTCCAAGTACTCCTTTGCGGCTTAGTGGCATTATTGCCTTGCTTAGAGTGAACTGATTAAAATAAAAATAATGGCTTCACTAATAACCGAAGTAGTTTCGTATGTCTTACTTTTGCGAGTGTTCAATCCTCGTTAAATGCCGTGAATTCGGACAGCCAAGCCAATCTTCCTTGGAAGATGGGTTCAATGACTAATAGATTTTCAAGAATTCCTATCGCAGAAAATACAGTGTTGTCTGACAATAAAGCTTTTGTAAAATAGAAACTGTAAAAGAAAAAATTACAAGTTGGACGAAACTTTCGCAATATGGCACTATTGGAATTTTTGAAAAAATCGTTTAAACTCTTGTCGGTAATGTGCTGATTGATCAAATATGAAGGCTAATCCCTTGAAGGATTAGAACATGGATAATCTATCATTGCACAGTACGAGACAAAAAAAGCTATCGAACGAGACATAAATAGAAAGATAGACAGATACAGAGAGTCAGAGAGACAAAGAGAGAGACAAGAACAGAGAGAGAGAGAGAGAGAGAGAGAGAGAAAGAGAGCCAGAGAAAGAAAGACAAAAAGACAGAGAGAGAGAGAGAGATGGGAAAATTAAGAAAGAAAGAACCTAATATTGGTATTGGGGTGGGGAAGAAAGAAATAAAAGAAAGAAAAAGACAAAAGAAAACTTAGATATAAACTGTTATAGAGAAATAGAGAAAACTAAACTAAGAAAGAAATGAAGAACGAAATAAAGAAAAAAGAAGTACAATTTGGGATAGAGAAAGAGGAAGTGAAAGAGAGAAATAAAGTATGAATGAAAAAGAAAGAGAATTACAATATGAGAGAGAGAGAGAGAGAGAGAGAGAGGGGAGTTGAGAGAGGTAAATAAACTAAGCTACGAAAAAACAATAAAAAACAAAGAACGATAGATAGATAAACAGATAGATATGAGCAGACTGAATGAGAAAGAAAGAAAGAAAAAGAACAACGAGTCATAAGATCTCTCTCTCTCTCTCTCTCTCTCTCTCTCTCTCTCTCTCTCTCTCTCTCAAGTGAAGGCCATTTTAGTAAGATTTGATTTTGACGTGACTTTTGTCTTGGTTCTTCACTAAAAAGCGAAAAGCGTCGTCTAACCGTTGTTACTCTTCCATCTACCATGCTTAGAACATGACAGTCTTCTTCTTCTTCTTCTTCTTCTTCTTCTTCTTCTTCTTCTTCTTCTTCTTCTTTCAGTTTGATATCGTGTTGTCTTGTATTAATTCCGCTTTGTTGTTGGTCGGTTGATCAGTTGCTGGGGTGTTGAATGCCAGAAATGAATCTAACAGATTTTAATAGACATATGCACTTCAAACGTCGAACGAGTCACGTAATGCACCCACCCACCCATCATACCTCTATATTTTTTCTCTTTTACAATATTTACAAACTTGGTCAGATACTGAAGAAGGCTAAATAGCGAAAACGGAGGTTGGGTCGAAAATTGGGTGAGCAAAATTGTGTTACTTCAGTTTTGCAAGTAGGAAGAAAGAAAGAAAGAACGAAAGAAAAAAAAACTATTTGAAATTAATTCCCCTCATCTCTGAAGTGAGAATTTCATAGTCTGCCTTTGTAGACTGCAGAATACGAAACCTATTTACTAATGTTTCCGTTTATGATAACATCGAGTTTATTATGCAAATTATTTATCAACATTCCACAATCCGTCTCTTAAAGTGAAACTTAACATTCTACGAAAGCTACTGTTGGCCACACAAGTCACTTCTATGACAACCTAATGAATATATATACGCACAAAGATATACACACAAATTGATGGCGTAACCATAGATAGATAGATAGACAGAGTTATGTACCTAACTGGGTATATAGATTATAACTTGCGTAATTAGACAGGTGTGGACAGGCAAATATAGAAACAGGATGATATTAATATACATAAGAAAGTAGCTAAAACAGCCTAAGATAGATAGATAGATAGATAGATAGATAGATAGATAGTGTTTGAGGATCTGAGTATATATCCATAATGGTTTTGGAAGTGTTTGTGGCTATTTTAAGATTATTTAGATGGGATATGTTGTTCTGGATCGTGGACGTGACGGAGTTGGTTGGTAGTATGCATCTGTTTTAATGTAATTTATTATCGCGGATTGTGTTTATTATTTTTGTTTCGGTTGAATATTTTTTGTATGCCTTTCTTCTTGCGTTCTGGTTGAAATGATATGGATATTGTAGGTTTTTGAATGTGTTTTCTATGTATGTTTCTTAGGGGCTTCAGATTCTCAATGCTCTCAGATAGAAACCGATAATAATTTCAGATTTAATTTTAAAAGAGTGGTTTGAGTAGAAACTGATCAGATCATTTTTGTAGCCTTTTTGTAAACGTCAAAATTGCGTTCGTTATTATTTCTATGTAATATGATATCTAGGAACGGAAGAGTGTAGTTGGTTTCAGTCCACACTGGACGAAACGCGTCGGCTAATAATACAGTTTTCCTACTGTTTTTTACCTTTATAAATATTGTCTTTTCTGCATGTTAACTCTGAGAAATTTTTCATTGATAGATAGACAGCTAGATAGATATGAACTTGCATCATGTTATAACTCACTCCTAGCGGTTTTAATATTATGTCTTGCTTAGTCTACTCACCGTGATATGTTAGATATTCAACGGACTGACTGACTCCAACGGACTGGTATTTTACGAGTCTCCCCACTGAGAGGAGAAGCGACACAAGATCGAATTTAATGTGGGAAAACTGAGCGCATACACTCAGGCCAAAGGTCAAAATTTACCCAGCCCTCGCAACCGCAAATTTGCATTGTCTATTTTTCTCAGCCGAGTAGACAAAGCCCCGACTCAGTCGAAGACAGAGAGCTTGACAATCGTGAGCCAGACAGCGAACTGTTTGACTACACTGACTCATTTGGGGTTCTTTATTTAAGGCGTCTTGCCTAGTTCATTTTTTTTCACCGGGGGTGCGTTATGTACTCCAACATCTTCCCTTTTGTGATATTTTTTATTAGTAAATATCTTATTTTATTTCTTAGTATTCACCACCCCCTCTTTCTGGCGAGTTTACCAACGTACTGAATTCTGTATATTTTTGGGGGAGGGGGGGTCAACCTCTAGTTTTTCCGTATGTTTCCTTTTTCTGGTAATCATATTTGTACGTTCAACGAATTCTTAGGGTGTTAGTACGTCAAAAAGATCATACATTACTTGCATATGTTCTTTTTTGCGGGATTTTCTTCTGTAAACTTTTTCTTTAACTGATTTCAATACCAGTGTTCCCATTTTTTCCTTTTACCATAAATATCATTTTTCCAATTCGTGACCTTATTGCGCCATCTTCCCACAATTTGTTCCATTCTTATATACTCTGAAATACATTTTTTGCCAATTTTGAAAAATTTTATGTCCTTTTTGTTATCCGTTCTTATTCTTTTTTGACATGGTAACAACCTGTCGAACACTGATCTAATTATTTATGCGAACATCAATTCTACCGGTGACATGCCTGACGGTGTATTGGGACTCGCCGTTATCCGGTATACTCTCAAGAATTTTGGTAGTGCTTCTTTGCTCACTTTTTCTTTACTTGCTTTTTCCAAAGCTCTCTCCGTTTCCCCTTGAGTGATACGGCGGTTTATGTTCAATCAAGAACATTCTGCAAACATCTTTAAATTTGTAAGCAGTGAATTGTGTACTGTTATAGGAGACTATGGCATCTGGAATGTCATATCTGGCAAACAGTTGGTGTAAAAAGTCACTGTAACCATAGAAGTTGGAATTTTGCACTTACAAATGTATGGTCCCTTAGTAAAGCTATCCACTGCTACAAGATAATGTCATATGTTTATTGGATGTGTAAAATCTATGTACAATCTTGACCAAAGAGTATCTGTCTTTGACCAAGGTTTTAATTTTGTGGTAGGTGATTTTGTTGTCAGAGCACGACCTCCGCAGGTTTTTACTAATTTTTCAATGTCTTGATCCATTTTGGTTCAGTATACATAGCTTCCTATAAGAGATTTCATCCCTAAAATTCACAAATGTCCTATATGAAATTTATTTAATATCTGCTTTTGTAATCTGATAGATATTACTACTCTTTGTGCAAAAATCAGTACTCCATCACAAAGTGAGTAAGTATTCAAGTCTGGATTGTGTTCTAAAAATCATTTATCTTTCTTACTTTCTTTTAGTCGTTTTTTTATTTGCGAATTAAACATGGCTTTTTCTTTTATTTCTTCCAGGGTAACCGGTAGTTCACGTACTACATTGCATAATATATTTTGTAAGTTCTATTTCACTTTTTAATGCTACAATAATAGTGTCCTCAAGCAGTTCAGTATTTTTTGTTTCAATCTTGATAAAGCATCAGCATATCCTAATTTTTTGGACAGTTGGTATTCCACCCTTAAATTGTAATTTAATGAGATGTTACCCCATGGTTGCAATCTATTCTCAGTATGCGTAGGAATTCCTTTTTTCGAACCATAAATTGATAATAGAGGTCGATGGTCTGTTTGCAAACGAAAGCTCATGCCGTGTATAAATTTGTGAATTTTTTTCTGAAACATAGATTATTTTTTCTTTTTCCACATTTTTCTTTAGCTTTTATATCTGCGCATTCATTTTTTTCTTCAATTTCTTCGGTATTGCGTCTCAGATTTAGGATTCTCTGACATTCGTCCGATATTACTTGTAGTGTTAGTTTTTGATTTTGTTCAAGTTTCGTTAGAAAGACTAAAAGCACATATTTCTGCGACTTTTTTCGTCGTTAACCCTTGAACGAAAATTAACCCTTTAAATATATCCTGAGAGAGTTCGTTTAATCTGAATCTTTCACACTCCTTGTTAATGATTCCAGCATATATGACAAAAGTCTTCTTTTGTCGCAAGATTCATACACTTCCAACAAGTAATGAACAACGAGCACTTGTCGCTAAAATTAAACCTTTAACAAAAACAACAACACATCATTTAAACGAGACATAAAAAAGGTTATTTTCTGCAGGAAAAGTAAAGGCAGAACATTAGTTGAAATAACATTTATAGATTATTTTCAGGAATATACAATGTTCAATTTTCCTTGGAGTAAAGTTTGCTCTGTAAAGAAATTAAGTGTTCGTAGTGTGATGTGAAATGTGTAGAAAAACTTATTTTATGACGGCCAGCAATGTGTTTGTGAGATCGTAGACAAGGACTTATTTGGCGTTTTGCTGGCTGTCATCTCTTCCACTATGTGCGTGTGTGTGTGGGGGGGTGTCGAGTAGATAAAACTAGCATTGGAAATTATTTTGAATCCAGAGTAGCAGTATGCTTCTATTTTAATATAATTTATTTTTTATAAGACAGATCCAAAATCTAATTCCACATAGAGGTGTGAACTTTTTTGTATAGAAGGTTTTCATTGGCTAGAAAATAATTTCACACTGGCTCGATAAAATCTTTTTCTCGAATTTGCGGGAGTGGTAAAGGGAATTATTATATGGTGAAGGTGGGTTTACAATTACGTCCGGCAAGTATTTTGGCGATATTTGCCCTAGTAATTATTGCTTATGCAACAAATCTTCTGATGGGATTTCATTGGCTGAAAAATATATATAGGATTTAATTCATATAGAAAAATACAAGAAATGCACTGTAGTTATAATTCCCGATGATAATGGTAATGTTAGCCGTTTCCCTATAAAGAAACATTAGGCATTCATTTAACGAGCAGCAGTACAGTTGTCTCTGGATTAAATTTACAAAATCTTACTCTTAAAACAATTTTTTATTAAAAATGTTTTGTAAAGTCAGGAGCTGTTATCATTCTTTCCAGTACTGTTAGGGATTTCCTTTCGAATCTTCAGTTTGAAGATGTGTTTAATGTCGGCATCTTGATTATGTCATTATTTTCTCTTCTCAAGCCCAGTAGCTGTTATCACTCCTTCCAGTATTGATGGAGGTTTCCTTCCTAACCTTTTATTTGAAGTAGTGTGGAATGTCAACGTCTTGATTATATAATCATTTTCTCTTCCAGTTACATGTACAATATATTTTAGTTGTTGCTGCTGTTGGAAGTCCTCAACTGATGTGGTTTCTGTTATTTAGTATAGTTGCTTCTGATTCTATAACGCCAGTCCACAAGAAAGATGATCTTTGCTAAGACCATCAGACTTTACTCGCTCAAAGCCATTTTAGTCATTATTCTGGGAAAAGCTTTTGTACACATCTAACAGTTTTGATATTTCTAAACGTCTTTTGGTGCCATGCATGACATCCAGATGAAGATCTCCATCTGAAGAGGCTATTAAAGAACACGATTCAAGTTTTTAAATTAATATTTTGGTTTTGTAGAATATATGAAAGTTTAAGTTTTTAGCCAAGTGAATGCCAAAATGATTGAATGCCAAAATGATTGAATGCCAATCAGATATCATGTGGCTTCCTCAAGTTTTGATTTCACAGCATTTTCATCGGTTCTGCATTTTTAGAATGACGTATCACTATTATCTTGAGGCCAAGCATTTGTCCCTGCTATAGGGACATTCTACACGGCCGAATGAATTCAAAGCTGTAAAGTTAGGAGGAAAGCTCATGGTTACATCATCATTATCATCCTTATTATTATTATTATTATTATTATTATTATTATTATTATTTCCTTTGATTTCTGTTGTACATATACTCATTTCCTTCCGGGTCCCATCCAGAGACCTTAGGTCAGAAATGGCTTCACGACATTTTCCACTGATCATTTTTGTAAAAATAATAAATAATCACACATATTTTACATAGATAAAGCAACAACACACACACATTATTTTTGGTACAATTTTTCTAGATATAAAACTGATCTTCCCAACATCATTGTTCTTAATTGTATGATGTCACTGAAATGTGTATATTAGTTTACACTTTATATTTATATGTACAGCAGATGCGTAATGAAGAGGGGGGCGATCAGCCCCGAGCGGCACTTTTATGGGGGCGGCACTTTTGTGTCTGCTGTTGGCTATAAACCCCTATAGGCTGTATTGAAACAGAAGTGGTTTAAATGAAGGGAGAGTACACACCTTTAAAGGATGTTTTCGATTTTAAGGAATTTAAACTATGTCATATTCACTTATCTACTTTCTATAGAGTGACAATGAAATCATTTTTGACGATCTCATTGAAGAATTTGCCAACAAAATCGCAAAAAAAAGTTACTTTGTAGAAAGTTGTAAGTTTCATTTCAGAAATAAATCACATCACGGTAAAAGATCTGAAAATGTGTAAAACAGATCCAAATGTTTTCTTTAAACATTTCCTAACCCAGGATGAGTGTTAGGTTCATCACAGAAACAGAGACAAAAAATAATCTCTTCAAAAGAAGGTCAAAGGTTGTTTCATCTGCAGGGAAGGTGGTAGCATCAGTTTTTCACATGTAAAAGGATTCGATTTATTGACTATCTTCAAAAGGTCACACCATCAATGGAGAGTACTATGTCAACTTGCTGAGGCAGTTAAGAAAGACTGTCAAGAACAAATACCCAGGAAAAGTGACGAAAGAGGGTCTTGTTTCCCCAGGAAAATGTTCCAACACACAAGTCCTTGGTT